TAAGATACAAACTTAGGATAAGAATGTTAATATCAGTATAGTTACACCAGCGCGCATTCCTCTTGTGGTATGCAAATCCAAAATGAAAATATTTTGGCAATGCTTTTGTAAACATATCCTCTTTGACGTATGAACTCTTAACAATCCAAGATTGGAAGAAAACTGTGTGAAATTTTCCTCTTGGCAATAGCAAATCATTAAATTCTGGTGCAATTCCATCGCTGATCTCCTTAAGTCTTTGCCAACTCTTTTTCTGTCCTTTTGTAAATCATCAGGCAGTCTATCTCTTGGTTTTATTTCTGAATTAATGAGCAATTACATCGTAAAAGTGATATACACAACTTTGCACAATTAGTGTTACAGTATGCTCTTTTCTTAGTGTCTTAATCGTTTTATGGTACTTGTTTAAAATACGATTCCAGCATTTCAACATGAAATTAATGATTTTGTTTTTCCTTTAATTAATTATACCAGCTTCTCGTTTCACCTTTATCGGACTACAGTAGATCCCCCTATAAGACGGTAGATACGTTCCGTTCTTTATGAATCAATTTTGTAGGAATCATAGTTTACGGACTACGGCTGTTTGAAAGGTTTTCTTTCATAAAATTAATCGATTCTAGACTAATTCGACTCAACATTTCCAAAATACGTATATTTTTTTGAAAATAATCCGTATAAACTACGTTATAAACAAAAAATTGTAGGATTGCTTACCGAGTGTGTACCGTTCGACTACGCCCGTTGCTAAAGCTTGGTTTCGTCGCGGAACAGCGCATCAAACCGCGGCCGCGATTTCTGATATTATTTTTCTGCGAAAACTTCGTTGACCTTTGGAGACATCCTTAATATAAATAATTTTTATGGCCGTTAAATAAGAAATGTTTCTTTCACAAGAAATGTATAAAATTACAGTACTGGACAGACGATAGGTCGCCTAACTCGCCGTAGCGTGACGCTAGACGGCGAAAAATATATATTTAATTATAATAAAGTTACAATAAATTAATTAATATATAATTATATGTACAGTACCTAATTTATATATAATTATATGAACAGACGATACTAAACTCAATTTATCCGCCTAAACGTCCGTAGCGTGGCGCTACGGACGGCGGGAAAGTAGTTCGGCTGCCCGATGACGTTTTACGTATTATAGGAGTTATTTTTACCGTTGTTTACGGATACTGCCACAATTTTTATAGGAATCATAACTATAGGAAACGGTTTTATAGGGGGATCTACTGTATTTCCTTAGTTATTTATAGTTGAAACTGCATTTGCACGTGCTTCCTATGTGGCGTTTGAAATTAACAGCATCGAAAGCAGCAATCGACTTCAGCCTGATCGACTAGATTTAGTAACCAGAATAGGGAATGAAGATTGATGATAAAACTTCACTCATTCATTGAATGAAGTTTCGTGTACTTCAACAAACAAAACGTCACACACCTAATTTCAGTTACCTTGTATTGTACTATAGGCACATACATGAACTACCTTATATTATGCAGGTGATGTCACTTTCAAAAGGAGTTCCATATAGGATATTTTTATAATTTATTAAATTTCACCTTGTGGACACAAGGTCTTTTTAGAAATCCCATTGTAGGCCCAGTCAAACTGTGTCCTATCTGGAAATGTACATGGCACAAGGCCCAGACAATTCAAACGTTCAGAATTATTTCCAGTGAAACTGAAAACATAAAATTATCAGTCTATTGAGTGACAACCCCAAGCAGGTATGTGATTATCTATTAAACGTATAGTCGTTTCTAACAAAAAATATCACTAACTAAAAAAAAAGCACTGATAAAATTTCAGTGATTAATTTTTTTAAATTTGATAACTTCGAGCAAGTTCGCAAATACAGTATTGTAGCTAGTCAAATTGAGCTACAATTTAATTTTTAAAATAAACATCCAGATGAAGCTAAATGAACAATTGGCAGCATGATAATGTCTTGGGAGACATTATCAAGCACCTTATTACCAATTAAAACGACTGAAGATTGTATCATTGAACTGCCGGAAGGTGCTGGTCGTTTCGAAAAATAGCCCAACATCTAGAAGCCGTAGCCGTGATAAGGTGTTGGAAGTAGGACACACGTACAGGCTCTGGCGGGCCAGGAAGACCCAACAGTTTTGCTCTTCACTACTGAACAAGCTTTATTGTCCTCTTTACATCTGGTCAACTCGCAGTGGCAACGACTGACTATTCTCGTTAGTCCTTACAGAGTCTGTCCAACTAGACACCACTCAATGGTATTGAATATGCTGACAGACGGAGACGCTGAACGACGTCGCATCGTGACGAATCTCATTTCAATCTTCCCTCCTCGGCCCGTATTGTCTCAATCTTTTCCCAGTTGAAATCAAATCTTCATTATCTTGAGACTGAGTAGGCTTAAGATTATTATGGATCATCCAAGCCTTGTTTGATTCCATTCAAGCGTACTACAAGTTTACCATATATACAGTATTTATAGCGAGGTGGCTTTACCATATACTGTTATGCATGATCATTCCTAAAATAGTGTGCATTGAAATTGCCTATTTTGGATAAGGAGACAATTCAATAATGTAGCACCTCGTACAAGGCATAAAAAACTAAGTACCATTGCTAAGTTCTCACGATACAGTTTATTAAAAATCGTCCATAATGTGATATTTAAAAAATGCGTCCTTAATATAAGAGTAATATATTAAAGTTATGACTCCAACCAATTTGTCAGAATTCACATCTTCATTATTGTGCAGATAGGACATGTTTTCGAAGTTGGTTTCTAAAAAAGTTTGTTAACGCCATGACAGTAATGTTCGTCTGTAGTAAAATTTTACATTGAGTAATGTCAGCACTCTGAATTACTTCCAAAACATTTGCAACCATACACACACACTAATTTCTACATAATTCAATTTATATATTTTTTTTCCACGAGCAGTAATTAATTATATTTATAGACTGTCTATAAATTATAAACTACGGCAATAAGAACCGATCGTAATCTTAAAAGCAATTTTTGAACTTCGATATTTCAAATTTTACATCCTGTTACGAAATACTTTAAAACGAATCTCGTTATTTGAAACCTTTTACAATTTGTTAAATATTGCGTGATAAAAATCGTGAAATTAATTACACACACACTTTGTACTAATTGTACTTAATAACTAGAATAAGACAAAAGCCCGACCCGTTTCCGACAGATTCAGTGAGTCAACGAATTTGGGTTAATTATCGAATCCACGTCCAAATATTTCGCCATTGATCGAGAATTTGAAATTATTTCCGTCCACGAATTGCCTTGCAAATATTTTATTTGTAACGCAACAAATTTGTTGTGCATACATTTCTACGAAACAGACATTAACCGGTAAAATATTCGGTTTCTGTCATAGGGACAGGTCGCACATCTTAGTCACTAACTAGTTTAAACCGATTTGATTTCGTAAGCAAACGCGCATACTTGAACGACGGAAACGTGTTTTATCGAGACAGATAACACTAAAAAGTGAGAGTGAACGATCGGGTTTATCCATCACTGTTTACACAGTAATTTTAGCTTAAAACTATGACTAAGCTCGCGACGATGCAACAAGGTTCCCAAAATGACATCATATTTCAACAATGTAGGTATTAGACTGCCAAAATACCGAGGCTGGTGGCAACGGCGTGTCAAACTGACGTACGTCGACACGAACCAGTCTAATACAGTACAATTTAATGACATGTTTTCAACCTTCGTTCATAAGTCTCCGCAGAAATGCCATCGCAATTTTTTAAATTTCGCTTCGATAAATAGCGTTGACGTAGTAACTGACTTTTTAAAATCAAGACGACAAATTCTGTTTGCTTTCCTATCGGTTAACAACCGTAAAGCACTAATAAATCCATTTAATGGATCGAGTAAAGCCTCAGAATATTTGGATAAAATGCAGTACAGTTCATATAGGTAAAGTTATTTCCAAATTTTAAATTTGGAAAAATGATATTTAAAATCTGGAAAGGAAGCAAGTCATAAATAACCACAGATATAACCGAGAAATTTGGCAGCGACGTTAATTTCTTTTTATATAACTTTTTAAAAATTCTATCGTGAGAATGACGGCGAAATGTGGCACGATCGGAGTAAAAAAAAAAATGTTTTTAAGTATATCACTAGACAGACTGAGAATTTTGTTTCACCTCTTTCTTATTAAGTTATTTGATTTTTTTAATGCATGTTTTCGAAATGACCGAAGACAATTCGAAATCTGAACACAGCACCGTCTACACGTATTAAAATTAAAACGAGTTTTAATTAGAGATCATTGACCCGGCAACCATGAATTGTCTGCTCTTTCAACCGTCCCCGATCGATCGTTGGCTGCAGTTCCAGACGCAACAAAATTGTCTCCGACGATATAGATTTCGCGTTTTCGCCACGGATTAATTTAATATAGTGACCACATCGCCATAGGGTTTATGATCCAATGAAGTCTAAACGACTACGGACGATTGTTGGCGGCGTTCGACGCTCGTCTTAAATCCATACAGGAGATGATTTAAAGCTAATATTTTTTAGACGATCAAAAAACTCATCGGGTGGCTTGACTTAACCGGCGTAACGCCAATTGGAACGATACTTGTTACTATAATAGGTCTGTAGTCGGGTAGGACAGATGGCCCGAACGGAACGCCGTTACCTTAAAAAGCGCTGAAAATACTTCAACGTGTTACGATCAGACACCTTACGTAAGTTAAAGCGATTGGGAAAGTCGAACCCCCTTTTCTGTACCAGAGAAAATATATTTTTAGAATCAACAGTCATGCCAATAGTCTCCGGACGGCCATGCAATACTATCTGGAAGAGATTCCCCAGTTTTTAACTGAAACTAAAATACAACTAACTACTTTCATACATAGATCCTCATTTTAAGAACCTGTTGTAAAACTGAAGCTTGGTACAACGCCAATCTTTTGTAACAAAAGATTAAATATTAAGAACGAACCACTCCGAGAATATATTGGAATGACTTCCTTCTTTTATTAGGGTATCGTTGACGTATTATACCAGCAGTACAAAATGAAATATAACGCAGGAACTTACAAATAGCACTTAAACATTGTCGTCTTCACTTATTGGCACCAATGGATATCTTATGTGGGGAATAGATTTAAAGCTGAAAGAGGAATGACAGGACATGTTAAATTTTGGGAGCAAAATACAATAAGATCGTAAAGACGACGGTCTTTAGCTAAAAGACGGCACACAACATGGTTCCACGCACATCATGACGATGCAGCTATAGACACAATTCACGCAAAAACTTTCAATAACATCAAAAATGGGATACTAGGAATAATTAATCTGCATTGTTGGTGCAGGGAGAGTTGCCTCTTAGAAAAAGAGAAATTCGTAAGAAAAGTAAAAGAATAATTTCGTCAGTTTTTTTCTACAATAGTGGGAAAGGAAGACAAGTTTTATAAAGCACCAATGAAGGAAGGATTTTTGGTTTAGAAAGAATTCTTCACGCCATTAAGAATTTTTTTTTAGAAAAAAGTCTCGATTTAAAATATGAAAAATACTAAAGATGATTGGGCTTTATTCTTAGCAAAATTTTTGTATTTTTTTTTTAATGCATCACAAACAACCATTAGTGATATGCTAGTAAATGGATACATGACTAGTTTGATACGAAGCATTGAAAAGACTTTTTTAAAAAAGTTGTAGAAATGCTGACAAACCCCTTTTTTGTGCTAATGTAGCTTGTCACTAAAGTTGCGTTAAGTACGAATAGAATTATATTGGATAATGAGATTCCATTATGAAAAGAAAAAAGATCCTATATATGATGAACTCAAGTTAAATGATGTAACTATTTTAGAGATAAATATACAAGAGAAATTAAGGATGGAAAAAAAGAAATGAAAAAATACACAACATTCGTACAACTGTCTACTTGCACTGGCACAGGAGAATAGTCAATGAATCAGAGTATAAAATGGCATAAGCAGGAAATTGGCTCGTCACTAGATTATAAAAAAGTCTTCTCCCCTTTCTGTTGAATACAACTGCAGCTGCATACACAATACTGTCACAGACAAGCCGAAGTCTTCAGTGAAGTGGAACATTGTATACAAAAGAAAATGGATTGGAGCCTGAAAAAAGTTAAGTGTGTAATGAATATATAAAAAGAAGAAAAAAAATAATACATATATATATATATATAATATATAAAAAGAATTACTAGAAATTGTTTGCTCTCAGATAATCTCCTAATTTTTCCACTACAGTATTGAGCTGACCTGGAGGGAAGCCATCAGTTGTAGCAGCAACAAGAAGACCTAAACAGAAAATTTTTTTTAAATATCTTTATAAGATTCTACAAAGTTGAAAAGTTAATTATGATAAAACCAGTACAGCCATATTTTAGCACCTACTGCAGCAAGGAGCCAAAATACAATAAATAAGCTATAAGCATTTGAAAGCAATGCAAATGCATTTAAGTAACATTTTATTACTAGTGTTAAGATTATGTTTAACACTTGTTCTCATATTTTAATTTGTAAAAAATAAAATAAGTATTAAATATGATCAACACCACACTTAGATGAAAAAAAGATTAGTTTGTACCAGCATCTGGTGCATAGAAAGTTCATTCTATTTATGCAACATATGTGAATCTTAAAGCAGCAGTAAAGTACAAAGTACCAAAGTGCAAACTAAGCAATTAAAGATACTGAAGCTGCTGCTGGGCAATGCCATTAAACATTTTAAAAAGTTCCTCGGGTAGTATTTAAATTAGCCAAACTTCTGTTTGATTCTGAAGGAAAAACACCACATTACTAGTGTTGCAACGAATAGTATATTCGGCCTCAGGCTGAATACTCAACCAGGAGCATGGCCAAATAGCCGAATATTCAGCTCGATTAACGCATGTACAAAAATTGGCACGCAAACCATATTATGGCAAGGACCGTGCTCTCTATTGGCCCACTGTCACTATGCTTCGCAAATCGCGTTAATTCTTGACAGTTCAGACAAGAGCGTCATGGCAGTATGTGATAAGTGATATCAAATGTGGATAACAAAGAAATGACCGACACATGTAAATATCGGAAGAACAACAGAGAAGGACCGCAAAGTGAAAATAAATATGAATTTGAGTTGATAACATAATCGAACAAGTTGATTACGTTATCAACTTAATAAGCGTGCCAATAAGCTGCCTCGAACAAGTCGAGGCAGCTTATTGGCACGAAATTCGCGGCTGTGAATGCCAAACAATTTTTGTCATAGACTTCGGAAAGCTAAATGCTTGCAATGAAAGTCACTTAGTGTACACGGGTGAAAGCCTGGGGTCGGTCGGGCTACCAAGCTGTTTCGAATCTGTGAAATCATAACTGACTTATACCGACGTCCTGTCTGTCTCTTTTCTCCGTTATCATCAGGCTATGAGCCACGTAATTGTAAAATGGGAAATCTATGACAGAAAAGTGATGAATAGAAGGTATCCTGAGGGCGTATTATGATGTATGCGTAGGCATACGTGGACTAGAGCGATAGATGAAAGAGAAAGGGAAGAGCTAAGACGAGAACTTAAAAGAATAGGCAGGGTCAGACCCTCAGATGTGCGACAATTCTTGAACAAATAGGTGTGTACGTGTGCTGATCTTTGTAATTATAAATTGTGAATACGTGTGACTAATATTACTTTCTTTTTTATTTTGTGCATGTTATAAGTTATAAATAAATATAAACAAACAACACTAACCCGATAACATTAAATCTAAATACCAAAATGATTAATTTACTGTGTTTTTGTTATTTCTTACTCCTGTTTTTAGGTATTCGGTCGAATACCGAATAGTAACTGAATATTCGTTACATCACTACATATTACATGATTCTATCATACATGATTTTTCCCCAAATAAATATAGAATAAGTAGCCTGAGATTACATAATTGTTAGTGCACAGTGATGCAATAAGTTTCAATATTTATTCAAGAGAGTAAAGCTTTATTGTTATGCATAATACAAATGCAACTGACCTTACTAAATAGCAAAACATCAAACTCCCAAAAACAGAGGCATAAAAAGCACCAACTTATTAAAGCACCTACAAGTTGCTCAACTCATTTTCCACAAATGAAAAAAAAAAAAACAACAAATTCCACTGCTAAGGAAGTGAGTGCATGAATGATCATAAACATAAAATTAGAAATGATACTACAGTAGAGCCTCGATTAACCGACCGTCCTAGTCGGCAAATTTCAAATGTCCACTAGTGATGTGGTGTTACAATATTTGGCTATGTCTTGGCTACTTTAATATTATTTTTACGTGTTTTAGCTAGCAACACTCATTCGATCATGAAAGGGAACCAGTATTTAAACACAGCTTAATTTTCTAATTTTTAACGATACAATAGCGACGATTATTATTTAAAAAAAATTTTATAGGCTTAACATGGAGGAAAATTCAATGTGAAGTAGGTTAATAGCAATACACTAATATACTAATTACATGGGATATAATAATATACTACACTAATAATGGATTTTTTCATACTTTTCGGTTATCTGATTTTTCAATTATCCGACCAACCCCAGTCCCCAATTGGGTCGGATAATCGAGGCTCTACTGTATCTTTAAATTTTAGAAAACATGAAGAAGAAAAAATTACAGGATTATATATTGGTCCAGTTTGATTCTTATGCTGTGACCAGCTATTTCCAAGGTAAAACAAGATGGTGTATCCATTCATATTTTAAACTCAACACCTTCAAAAAACAGCTATTCAATTTTTAGTACATTTGTTTAATAATACATGTCACATGTGTTAAACTAGGAACAATTTTAAATTCAAAAGTACATGTTCTTTAACAGTAAAATTTAAAACAATTTCAAAACAAATTGAAAAGGTTTTTCAAAAACTAAAGTTTATTTTTTCCCACTAAAAAAAGATTTTTGAAAATAGAAATGAAATAACTGGCTATATTAGACAATATGCACGAAGACACGTAATCACCTATCACAATTTCTTAAAAAAAAATATCCTCATTAATTTGAACTGATAATTTGAAATCCTGTTAGTTCATAACCACACTTTCGATCCAGCCCGGGAGGGATTTACATGCTAAGGAATTTGGTTAGTTTGAATTAAAAGTAGCTATATTTTGAAGTGAAAATTCTGTCCAAACTGATATGCATATATTAACTCGTTCATTTAGATCAGTCATTCCCAAACTTTTTTCCCCTTTGTTCCATAAAGTTATACCCAACGCCCCTAACCCATTTTCTCTTGTGTGAGAAAGGATTGGAAATATTCTTAGGAAAACTTTTCTATGAATCTCACACTTTGTGCCCTTACTGTACATTGTTTTCAACATCTGGAAACCATTAAATGCAAGGTTTCCTTTCAGTGACCCCAATTTTGCCTTTGGTCACCGTTCAATCCCCTGCCTCCAGCGTCCCTAGATCTAATCATCACCCACAAAGAGCGTTATTGCCCACTTTGAGAAATGTTGATTTAGATCAAAGTGTCTCCATGCTATAAGAGAACAATAGACCAAGAACAACTCTAATCTGGTCAATATGACTTTGCTTTTACAGTAACACATTTTTGGGTGTCACCTTACACATGGACTATCCCTGTTTTCTCCATCTTGTAAAATACAACCGGTTTTGAGATTGCAAGATTGAGCTACAAGTAGCAGATTTAGATATTTTTAGGACTAGGCTACTACATTTGGGCTGATTACTACTTTTTGGATCACTTTAAAAATAATTTGGGCTACATTGAGGAATTCTGCTTTACTTTTTATAAAACCTATCTGGTGACCTGTGTGGTTCTCACTGTTTACATGCTGTTTACTATTATTGTTGTTATTATTATTTAATGAAAATAGCATTCTGTATATGTAGCCATATTCCATTTACTTAATACATTACATCAGTTACACAGCATTTGGCATACTGTACAGAAATATGTAAATCCCTGATAATTCAAAATTCAAAAGTTGATTATTTCGTCCCTTGAATTTTGAACTAAATCAGGATTTCCTATATTAAACACGCCGATCAAGGATCTAAATTTTAAAATGCAATGCAAGAATTTTTACAATAATTCTATAACATGAGTCCACAAAAGGGTTGATAAAAGCATTTGGGGTTTGATTGAAAATTACTAGTCCAATGGGTTCTATACAACATTTCAGGATTTTGTAAATTTATACAAAGATTCTACAATACTAGGATAGGAACGCTTGCTCTAAAGCTGTAACCAAGATATTAGTGCCACTCCTTGGCAGGGAGTGATGATAATTCCCAGATCAAGGGACAAAGCATTAGTCTGCCTTCACTATAACTGTATTTGAGAAGGAAATAGTATGGTAGGTTCAGTGTGTGAAACAGTGAATTGTAATAATTATAGAAATCTCAATTTATTGCTGTCATTTCTCTGTTTCCCAAAGGGCATTAAGAAATAAGTAAATTTTTCAACAGTAAATAAATCTATTTTAATAATTGCATAAATTTAATAATTTATATTTAAAATGTCAGGTGAAAGATATGGCTTAAAAACTGTTTGCAGAGTGATCTGGATAGTGTTTTCAAAAAAGATCCACTCTACTTATACAGGAATTGTTGTTTATGCATTAATCATTTTGATTATTTCGGATGAGTTGGTAAGTTTGTAAATTCAAATTTAAAAAATAAAATGAGCATTTTTTCGTTGCAATCTAAATGTGTAGTTTATGAAAGGTCGTTTATATTATTGTTGTCCATATAAGTTTGTGTGTTAATAAGCTTATTATTGTTAAACAAATAAGTCAAGAGGCAGTTCAAATCATATTTTGCATTCTAAATCCACCATTGGTGGAAGTGAAAAGAAATCCTTTGCAGCTTTGACCATCCAAAAGGATGAAAAGGAGAAATAAAGACAACCCCAGCAGGTAGGATATTGCTGACTTTGATGTGGTACTTTCATTAGTTTAGAATACATTAAAAAAATTAAATGTATTTAAAATGCTGTATTCTGTATGATAGTTGTGTGTGTGTTTTATCTCATACATATAACTATCATACAGAATACAGCATTTCAAATACATTTAATTTTTTTTAATGTATTCTAAACTAATGAAAGTACCACATCAAAGTCAGCAATTGAAAATGAATTGATCATCAAACTCCTAGCCATCAGGATGCAATCCCATTTCAAGACACTTTCCAAATGACAAAAGAAATTGCAAAAGATCATCATCCACAGATTGCGAAAGAAATTAAAGTCAGTGCAAGATGAAAAATATGAACTCTAAAATATATAAACAATACTGTATTT